GGGGAGGGGGGGCAAGGCCGTGGTTTCCCGGCTCCTGGACTCAAAGGGCCTTTTCTCTGCCTGCCTGCCCCACCTCACCCACCCCACCCAGCTCTGCTCTCCTGATCACTCTGGCCCCTGCCCTGCCCCATGCTTCTGTGAAAGTTTTGCAGGAACTTTCTTTGGGATTTTTCCAATGTGGAGCTGATGGTGTGAGGAGTGTGAATAGTGGGAGAGGTGACCTTTGTCTTCCTGGGAGTTTGAGCCCTAAGATACCAAATTCTAGGTGGCTAGGGCTGGTGGCCTGGGTCTTGAATCTTTGGATGCTGAGTGATGGGGGTGGTGGGGCAGGGTCGAAGTTCCAGGTGTGGGGAGCTTGCCCGGGTTTTGGCCAAGGACTCTGATGGGATCCACAGATGTGTGGCTCAGGGCCCTGGACTTGCTCTGGCTCTGCGTGGCAGCTTCAGGCTCCCCTCCACCCCAACCCCGCCTCCAGCCCATTTCTCAAGCTAGGGACACAGGCTCCTGGGTGGCTTTCCTGCATCTCCTTCAGCACAGTCAGAATTATCCCCACCTCCCTAAACATGGGAACTGCAGCAGTTTGAAGCCCCCTCCCCATAGAGCTGCCTCTCTGCTCCCTCCTTGAGCCCCCCCTGCACCTTCTGTGCCCAGGATGATCGATTGCCCAGATGTTGTTTGTGCTGGAGACACAGGCGAGAGGCCAGAGACTCAGAGACCAAGAGATACAGAAAGGGAATGAGAGAGTGGGAGAAAGACAAGAAAGGTAAAAGGTGGACAGAGTGTGAGGGAAATGGAGGAAGACAGAAGAGCCTGGGGGACAGAAAGAACAACACATGCTGAGACAAAGAGGAAGAGAGACAGTGAGAGAGAGAAGGGGAGACGGATGGAGATTTCAGAGAGATACTAACTGAGAATAGAGAGAGATTCATAGGCTGAAAGGCAGAGATAGGGAGAGTGAGCTGACAGGGTGCTGAGAGGGAGGGAGGGGCAGGAATGCTCTCCTGTGACTGGTCTCCCGTCCATTCAGGAGCAAGTGAGGGAAAGGTGGTCTTTGCCTTCCAGGCAGCGTGAGCCCCAGGAAGTTGAGTTGTAGACCACAAATGTCCCCTCTCTAGGCCCTCCTGAGGATGTGTCCCTTCCCCTGACCCTCATGGACTCTCCCAGGTGCACCCCCTGTGGATGTACTCCGGGCCCTGAGGTTCCCTTCCCTCCCTGATGGTGTCCGGAGGGCAAGAGGCATCTGTCCAGCTGATGTGGCCTACCGAGTGTCCCGACCTGCTCAGCTGAGCGCACCCACCCGCCAGCTCTTCCCAGGTATGGACGACAGGGTGGAGCAGAGACAGCTGGGCTAGGTCATGGGTGGTGTCTGAGACCTGAAACCTGAAGGGAAGGGGCTTGTGGCTCTTTTTGCCTTTTACTCCACATATGTGTGTCTCTCTTGGGTCCCAGGAGGTTTTCCCAAAGATTTCTCTCTGTTGACTGTGGTCCGGACCCGCCCTGGCCTCCAGGCTCCCCTCCTGACTCTCTATAGCGCCCAGGGCATCAGGCAGCTGGGCCTGGAGCTTGGCCGACCTGTCCGCTTCCTGTATGAGGACCAGACCGGCCGGCCTCGACCTCCAGCTCAGCCAATCTTCAGAGGCCTCAACCTAGCAGATGGCAAGTAAGTTTGCTCCTCTGCTCTGCCTGGCCTGTGCTTTCAGGAGCTGCCCTGTGGCCACTGCCCCAGAACCCCTACTCCCTAAACTAGAAATCCTGCCTGCCCTTTTGGCCACACCACACCTACCCACTGCCCAAACTTCAGTCCCTTGTAGCCCGGAGTTTGGGCTTTAGAGTTTACATCCCTGCACGTGGTACTAGGGCAAGGTACTTGCCTGTGTCTTGGGCAAGTTACTTAACTTCTGTGTTTGTAAAATAGGGTTAATGCAATCATGAGAATCAAGTGAGAAACTTGTTTCTGGTGTGGGACATTGTAAGCACTTGATAAATAATAGCTACTGTGATTACTACTATTCTTATTATTGGCCTTAACCCTTCCATCAACTGCTCCCCAGCTCTGTTGACTTTCCCTCCTCAGTCAGTCACTTGAACTTCTCCCACCATGACCAGGTGGCACCGTGTAGGTGTGGCTGTGAAGGGCCAGTCTGTCACCCTCATTGTTGACTGCAAGAAGCGAGTCACTCGGCCCCTCCCCCGAAGTGCTCGTCCAGTGTTGGACACCCGTGGAGTGATCATCTTTGGTGCCCGTATCCTGGATGAAGAAGTCTTTGAGGTAACAGAGCAATCAGAGGACAGAGTGATTTCTGGTCCCATATCTTGTGTCCATCTGTCCCCTTCTGACCCCAGCATGCCATCTTCCTATGCCCTAGGCCTTCATTTTTCCTCTCATGAATTTATATTCCCGTTCCCTATACTAAGGGCTAATTTTCTCTGTAGGAGAACTAGGTGTCCAACTTATATGGCAGGACTGCCCACAGCCACTTATTTTGCCACTCAGTCTTCATCACTCTGCGTCATCGATCCACCCATTCAACCAATCTATCTACCCACTCATCCATCCATTTACCCATCCATCCAGTTACTCACTCAGCCACCTACTTAAGCATTCAGGTTTGTATCCATCCATCTGCCCATCCTTCCCTCGCTCAGCCACTCCGTCTTCCAACCACTTATCTGTCAATCTGCCCTTCCATCCATCTCTCCTCTTTAACCCATCCACCCATCTATTCACTCATCCACCCACCCCATCTACCCACGCATATAAGGATGCATGCAACCATTCATCCACCATTCACACGCTCATCTCCTCGCCTACCCACTCTCCATCCAACCATTCATTCATCCACATATTCACTTCCATCCATCTACCTACCTGCCAGTCTGATTCCATCTCCTCACCAATTCACTCATTCACTCATTCATTTATTTTACCATCTATCAACCTTCCCATTCAGTCATGCATTTGAGCTCCCAGCCAGCCAGCCAGCCAGCCAGTTAACGTTTTCTGAATACCGGCTTACCCAATGCGAAGGGGGGAACAGAAGAATAATATAAGGTTTCCATCATCCCAAGGAGCTCCCCCGTTCTACTCTGGAGATGAGACAATACCCCTAAACTACAGTACAAGGCAGGGTGTGTTAAGTACCACATATGGGCACAAATAAAAGCCATTGGAATTCTGAAGTGGCTTCCCCCTCCCTCATTTCTAGAGGCCCTGAGCATTCTCATCATTACTGCCAGTGGAAGGTGAAGGCAACTAAGGCTGGGCAGGCCACTGTCTCCAGAAGCCCCTATGAAAAGGCTCAAGCATTACCACAGGGGCAGGGGGCTAGGCAAAGGGTATTGAGTTTAGAGTTGGATGGTATGAATTCTAGTTCTGATTCTACCACTGTGAGTGACCTTGGACCAGTCATTGCCTCTGAGCTTTTGTGGATGGAATGTATCTGAAAAGTGGGCATAAAGATCCTTGTACTACTGACTTTCCCAGTGGTTGTGAAGGTCCAATGGGAACTGAAAGGGCTGTGCCCATGAAGGGCTGATAATGACCTTCTTCCATTATTTAGTTTTACCTAGGATTGGCCTCCTACCCTTTGTCCCAGATTATACCCTTTGTTTCTCTCTGAAGCCCTTTCTCTCTCCCTCTCTGTTCCTTCCTCTTGTCTTTGCAGGGTGATGTCCAAGAGCTTGTCATTGTTCCGGGGGTGCAAGCTGCCTATGGATCCTGTGAACAGAAGGAGCCAGAGTGTGAGGGGGACTGGAGGGAGAGACCTCAGAAACAACAGCCTCACAGAGCCCAGAGATCTCCAAAGCAGCAACCATCAAGACTTCATAGGCCCCAAAACCAGGAACCCCAACGACAGGTGAGGGAGCTGGGCGAACCCCAAACTGCAGCACCCCCAGGGAGGGAAGACACCCAGACATCTCCCCAGGGGAACTCCCCCAATGTCCAGAGCTCCCCTTTATACTTTGGGCGCCTGTTCTCCCTTCCCTCATATCCATACCCAACCATACCTCCCTATGCCCATCACTCACCCCCAGTCCTTATTCATCAACCTTTTTATTTTAATTTAAAAATAAAAAGAGTCGTTAAGAAGAATTCATGGCTGGGAGCTGTGTCCCCTCCTTGTGTCCCCTCTGCCAGTCTTCCTGGAACTGTGTCCTTGGGTTTCCCATCCCTTCCTTGAATTAAGAGATTGGGAGAGAGGGTGGGGGTGAGACTCGGGGACAGAGGATGGGAGAGCAGATTAGGAGAGAGGCAGAAATGGAGAAAGAAGCTGTAATGGTGAGACCTAGGAGAGGGGGAAGGAATAGAAGATAGAATTCCAGAAGCANAGAAGCTGTAATGGTGAGACCTAGGAGAGGGGGAAGGAATAGAAGATAGAGAGAATTCCAGAAGCCTGGTGGGCCTGTGGAAGGGGGGTGGGGCCCACCTCAGGCCCTTTGTACATGGAGATGCAGGATAAGGGGTTGTGTGGGGAGGGCAGGGAGACCCTGGATTGGGTGGAGTTCTGAAGGTCAGGGTGACAGATATGATTTGGGGTCAGTAGTCTAAGGTTGGAGCATCAATCTCTTAATTGTGTCTGCTTCTGTCCCACATGCGGGACCCATCCCCCTTTCCCGCCTCTCCCCATCTCTCTCCTGTCCCCCAACCTCTCTTTACATCCCCAACTCTGTTTTCCAACTCCGTGCCTACCCCGTTTCCCAATCCCACACTGTCTCACCTCCCTCACTCCCCTCCCCCCACCTCCACTCCTTCCTACCTATCCCACTGCCCCGTCCCTAACCCCAGCCCACTGAGTCTCTCCACTATGACTACGAGCCCCTCTATTACGATGTGATGACTGCGGGGACGACCCCTGACTACCAGGTAAACTTGAGGGACCCCTTCCTTTCTCCTGTTCCACCCACCACATCTATGATACCAAGTGCGAAGAGAGACATCATATATTTAGATTATGGGAGTTTCCTCACTGCCCCCTCCCATGTCTCTCTGCTGCAGCGGCCTCGGAGCCCCAATCACAGGGCTCCCCCTTCCCCCAGGGGGCGTCGCACCCCACCCCGAAAGTCTACCCCACCTGCCAAGAGGTCAGCATCCCGGCAGGCGTCCCCCTCATCAGGCCGGAGACCCTCTCGAATTGGAGGTTCTGGGCCAGCATGGGGCCAGCCTCCCCACTCCCGACGCCCAGCTCGACGGGCAGCTCCCCCCACTGCCCGGGCCAGAGGCAGCAGTTACCGGCAGGTAGAGCCGGGGCATCCAGATCTCTGCCCCCAAACCTCTATGACTTGGGAGAGTCATTCTCCCTAAGCGTCCTCCCTCCAAAGGGGCTGCAAGATCTGAGATTTCCCCCATCCCCCACACAGAGACACCCTGCCCTCAGGGAGGGGACAGGTGCTGCTTTGCTGCCCTCTGGCTAACCTCTCTCCTTCCTTCTGCCCTACCCCGTGATACTCTTCTCCCCCTTCCTGTTGGGATTAGTACCCCACCCCAGGTGAAGAGGAAGGAATCCTGGAGTCAAGCCCCTTGCCACCCCCTGAGGAGGTAACTCCATGCCCGCCCCTCACCCTTCAGGCCCCCTGTCATCTTGATGCGTCAACCCCTCCTCTGGCCGGAGAGCTCTTCGTCGTATCCACTTATGGCCTTCTGTCTTCTGGTGCCCCCAGGCCAGCGGGCCGCTCATCTGTCTCAGTACAGCATCTTTCTTCGGTGTCCACGTCCCCTTCCATTATCCTGGAGTAGCCCCTCTCCATGTCGGTGTCAAATGATTTTACTTCCTGCGCCCCGTTTCTCTTCCTACCAGCCATTTGCTGTCCAATGCTCACTTTTTCTCTTCTTCCCTTCTTTCCATCCATTTCTTTGGTCATTCCCTGGACTCTGCTGTCTACCGTTATGTTCATGGACTGTCCACTCTGTGTCCAGCCCTCCGGCCACCCTTCTTGTCACCCATCATTTCTTTCTATCAAGCCCATTTCCTGGACATCCCTCCCGATTTCGAGTCTTTGATGGCCATCACTTTTCTACACAACTGCTCCCCTTGCTCTTCTTGGGAGAAAAACCCCAGTCCCAAATGCCCTCAGAATCCTTCGGGCTAGAAGTCGTCACCCCTGGGGTGCAGGGAGAAACTCCTCTCAGCCCTAATGCCCCCGTCTACCCCTCTCCCTCCCCATCCCCGGGAAGGAGCAGACAGATCTCCAGGTCCCCTCCACAGCCGACAGGTTCCTGACAGAGGAATATGGGGAGGGTGGCACAGACCCCCCAGCAGGGCCCTACGATTACACCTATGGCTATGGGGACGATTATCGTGAGGAGACGGACCTTGGCCCTGCCCTCTCTGCGGAGACAGCCCACTCAGGAGCCGTAAGTGAAAGGAGCTCCTCTTCCAGTCTTGACCTCCAGCGGGAGCTACAAGAATTGCTTCTTGTTTTTTATTATTGTCTGTTGGCTGTGAGCTGCTTCCCACTGGTGGTTTGCCACTTTCTGTCCATACAAAATGTATATGTTGCTTGAACATATTACTTCCTGCCTTCCCTGGCCAGATGTCTTACCCTGTGACTCCTTCTGAATCCTCCTGCCCAAGGCAATGGGATTAAAAACCCCCAAAAAACTTATGGCCACTTCCTGTCTGTCTTTCTGGCCACTTCCTGTCTCAATTAAGCTGGATTTCACAAAGCTTTTGGTCAATAAGCCCCTAGCTTGTGTCCATTTTCAGTCTGTCTCCATCATTTCTTCTTGGTCAAAACAATTTTTTATCCATGTTGCTTCCAAATGATCTAACTTCTTATGTCTCACTTTCTAACCCGTCTGTCCCTTCCTGTCTTCTCCAGCTATGCCATCCGTCTTGGCGATTGTGCCATATCGGACTGAAAGAAACTTATTATTTGTATATCGACTAATTTTTCATGCTGCCTGTGACAATTTCCTTTGATACTGAGCTACTTCCTGTGTGTCTCAGGTCATCCAAATCATGAAGTTTCCATTGTGGGCCTAGGTATTTATCATGGTCACTCCCTGTGTGTGCTCACTTTGATGCTTGTGTTTTCTGGAAGAATTGTCTTTCATTGTCATCAGCTTCTATTCGGGAGTCACTTTCTGCCTGTTTTGTGAATTTCTTCTTTCTATTGGTCATGGCAGTCAGGTTGTTGGTGAAGGTCCACCTCCTGAAGCCTCTCTTCTTGGCCGCTTCCTGTCTGTCCGACCACTTCCTGTTTGTCTGGTTCATTTTCTAGCCACTTTGGCCACGTGTAATTTTTCTTGGCCCTAGCATCATTCTTGCTTCCAAGTGTTTGTCCCTCCATTCTGTGCCCCTTAATTGTTTCCCATGTCTTCAGCCACTCCCTCTCAGTTGGGGTGTTTCCTGTTTCCTCCACTTCTTCTTTTGCTTGCCTTGCAGTTAGAGCTGCCTTCTCTGTCCCGCTCCCTCATCCCATGCCTCCCTTCTCTAATATTGCCACCCTTTACCCTCTGCGGTCTTTCTTCTATGCTGCTTTCTGGAAACTTGAGGCTGATCTGTGATATGGGAGAGTTTGGAAACTGATAATCAGGATGGAGGTGGAGGGGGCATTCTGCAGGTCTCGCTGGGAGACTTGGGGGTGGTGGTGAATGTCCTCTATTCTCCCTGTCCTTATCTTGTTTCTGGCCCTAGAGTTGGGGGTGGGCATCTGGGTGGAAGTGTGGAAGAGAGGCAACTGGTAGGCTTGGAGTATAAATGAGGGCCTGAGGGAGAGTGTAGTGTCCTTGCTGAGAGAGGAACTGTGGAGACTTGAGGGGATCTGCTCTGAGGCTTGAGTAACCTCGCCCAAGAGCTGTATTTTTTCTTTCTTTATTTTTTTAAATCCTCACCTGAGGATATTTTTTCCATTGCTTGTTCAGAGAGAGTGGAAAGGGGAGGGAGAGGGAGAGATAGATAGATGAAACATCGATGTGATAGAGNAGAGTGGAAAGGGGAGGGAGAGGGAGAGATAGATAGATGAAACACATCGATTGGTTGCCTCCTACTCGAGGGCCAACCAGGGCGAGGGATTGAGCCCTTGGTCAGAATTGAACCCGGGACCCTTCAGTCGAGGGCCGACTCTCTAACCACTGAACCAAACCAGCTAGGGCAAGAGCTGTATTTTTTCAAAGGCCAGTTATGTGGTCGAGGTTTGGGATATCAGTGGAGACTGCCCTCAAAACCTGCTTAGAGTATGGATGTTTAATATCCAGGGAGTTTTTATCTTGTGAACCCCTTGAAATTCTAGGAAAAATTCTGTGCATACAGAATAAGGGCATATATTTTTTCTTTTCTGAAGACTACATAGATTACATCAGATTCTCATGGATCCATGCTCGCCCCTCAAACTCCAATAAAAATATGTCCATAATCTTGGAAAGATTCTTACTTGGTGGGTTGGAGTAAGGGTGAGGAATTTGATGGTTTCTTAAGGTTCTAAGGATTCCTGGGGTCAGAGGAAGTTTGGGGGATAGGATGGTATCCTCCAGAAGAGGCTTTGGGAAGGTTGGGGGGGTTGGATTCCCAGGAAGGGTGTGGGCACCTTCTTGAAAGAGGTTCTCAGGGAGATGAGGTTGTCTTTGCTGAGGTGGGGCTGGGAATTGGGGTTGGGTAGCCCTGAGGTCTCCTTGGCAGGCCTAGAGGTCTGTGAAGAGAGTCTTTGGGGAGGGGGTTTGGGGGTTTGAGGGTAGGCTCAAGGAGGTCTCCAGAGAATGAAGGTGGGAGTTGGGATGGGAGCAATCCCAGTGTCCTGGCTGCTCACAGGCCCCACTGGGGGTTACATGTGTGTCTCCCTCAGGCTGCCCGTGGACCCCGGGGGCTGAAGGGAGAGAAGGGTGAGCCTGCGGTGTTGGAACCTGTAAGTCACCCTGGTCATTGAGCTGAGGGCAGTGGGAAGAAGGGAAAAAGGCTGGTCCTGTAGCCTCTGACTGTTAACCTTTGACTCCACAGGGTATGCTGGTGGAGGGGCCCCCCGGCCCAGAAGGCCCTGCGGTGAGTCTAGCCATGACCCATAAACCTCTATTCTTTTCTCAGAAACCCTTCCTATACACTCATCCGTGTCTTCCCCACTTATGCCCAGGCCTCCTTCTCAGAATTCCAGAGCAGTCTTTCAATCAAAGCTCCCAGATCTCTTCTTTAGAGACCACCCCTCAGCCACATACCCCTCTTCTCTCTGAATGCCCACCCCTGACCCCCTTCTCTTTTGCTCCTAGGGGTTGACGGGTCCTCCTGGCATCCAGGGCAACCCAGGCCCAGTTGGAGACCCTGGCGAGAGGGTAAGGGAGTGTCCCTTGTATGGGGGTGGGGCTGCAGAGGAGCCACTAGTACCTAATGGGGGCACAGTGCTTAGTAATTTCTCATTAGCTGGCTGATCAATGAACAAGGGACTGGTGTGCTCCTCAGCACTCATAAAGGAGGGCAGACTGGCTGGGGAGGACAGTAGTCTGGCGTCTTACCCTCATTTTTCTCCATGGGGTTGGGGTGGGCCTCAGGAAAGATCTAGGGAAGTCTGCATTTATCCTGTTGTGGAGGGTTTCCAAATGATTCTAGGCCTAATATTCCTCTGTCACCTATCCTTCTCATTCTCTCCCCACTCCAGGGTCCTCCTGGCCGAGCAGGGCTCCCTGGATCAGATGGGGCCCCTGGCCCTCCTGGCACATCCCTCATGCTCCCAGTGAGTTGTCTTCTGGGCTTTGGAATGGGCTCATGGGTAAGGCAGGAGAATTGTGTTGTGTCACCAAGACCCAGAAGGTCAGGAAAGCTGAGGAGCCTCTAAAGACCATCAACCCAATGAAATTGATCTTTTAGGTAGAGGGACTAGGGCCTCATTAGATGACCTAGAACCAAACATTGATCTTCTAGAATCAAACTTGGATCACCTAAAACGGAGCAGAAAATCCTGTATCTCAGGGGATCTAAAACCAAAGGAGAGTCTTTCGGGAGGAAGAGGCAAGACTGGGGGAAGAGGACAGGAGATGAGTTTCTGAAAACCTCTAAGTGATTATCTGAAACCTCCTGTGGAAAATGCTGGAAGAGGGCATGGGGGTGTCCCTGAGCCTAGGAGATTGGGCAGGAATGCTGGATGACACCTCTGGCTGGGAAGGTCCCATAGATTTCCTGGATAACAACCTGGACCATCTCTCCTTTCCCATCAGTTCCGGTTTGGCAGTGGTGGGGGTGACAAAGGCCCTGTGGTAGCCGCCCAGGAGGCTCAGGCCCAGGCGATTCTGCAGCAGGCACGGGTAAGGCTGGAGAGCATCTTGGTGGGAGGAGTATGGTGGAAAACGGAAGACTCTAGGAGGGGTTGGAAGGGTAGGTTGGAGGGAATGTAGGGCAGGGGAAGGTGTGGGTTGGTTTGATGCCGAGAGGGAGGTCAGGGAGCACATGGGGCAGTGAAACAAGGATTAGGAGTGGAAGGATGAATTTGGAGGTTGTACTGGGCTTGGGAGCTTTCCAGCTGCCTCTTCTCAGCTCTGCTGTGTCCTCTGCGCCCCTAGCTGGCTCTCCGTGGACCCCCTGGACCCATGGGATACACAGGTCGCCCTGGACCCTTGGTGAGTGAATGGGGTGTGTGGGGGTTATAGATAGTTCTGGAAAGGGACCAAATAAAAAGTTATTTTGCTTCTTTTAGGGAGGGTTTTGAGGTCACTGTTGGGTATGCCCTTCATTATAGCCAATTGTCTCTTCTCTCTCACAGGGACAACCTGGGAGCCCTGGCCTGAAAGGAGAATCTGGAGACCTAGGACCTCAGGTGATACCATCCACCCATTTGATTCCCAACCCATCGCTTCCCCCTGTGTCTATGCTCATTAACCCTGCCCTCGACGTTCCCTCCCCAGGGCCCCAGAGGACCTCAGGGCCTCACAGGCCCTCCTGGCAAGGCTGGGCGAAGGGTGAGTGACTGAGTGTGGGGTGGGTGTGGGTGGGAGATGGGGCACAGAGCATGGAGGGCTGTCCTGTGTGCTCTGACACTTCCCTTGCATCTGCAGGGCCGAGCCGGTGCTGATGGAGCCCGAGGGATGCCTGGAGAACCCGGAGTAAAGGTGACAGGCTGGGCCCCTCTCTGATTCTCTGTTCCAGCCCCATCTGAGCTCATTCATTTTGGGGGATGACTGAGTTCCCCAGCTTCCCTCACATAGTGGCATTCGGGACACATAGGGAGGGGTGGGGTGGGAAAGGGGCTGGGACTTCACATAGGTTGGCCCTCTTTCCCCTAGGGTGACCGAGGCTTTGATGGACTCCCAGGGCTTCCTGGGGAGAAGGGACACAGGGTGAGTATCATGGGGGTAGGAACCTCAGGGCAAGGGAAAGAGGCTGAGGGTCTCAGCAGGGGCTCAGTGGGTGAAATTGGTTGGTTAATAGAAGAGGGTCAGCGTCTGCGTGTGTTGGAGGCCCTGAGGCTCCTCTTACCCGTCTGCCCATTTTCCAGGGTGATACTGGTGCCCAGGGCCTTCCTGGGCCCCCTGGAGAAGACGGAGAGCGGGTAGGTGTGGCCAAGGCAGGGGCTGGGTGCGGGCGAGGGCCGGCGTGTAGGGCCGCTTCACCGTGCCCTTCTCCTCCAGGGAGACGATGGGGAGATCGGGCCTCGGGGGCTGCCTGGAGAGTCGGTGAGTGTCCAGGGGGTCAGGTTGCAGGCGGAG